AAAAAAAAATCCTTTTAATTTTTCTAACTTGTTTTTTCTCTTTTCATGTTGGGGCTGTTTTTCTCTGCCGGTTTGAGACTGAGAAAATTTCAAGGATACTACACCTGGAGCTTCTATGGATTGTGGATGCTGAAAGTTTTCTTTTTCACCCTGTCGACTGATTTGGTTCTGAAGCGCTCCCTTACTCTGGTTTTGAGGAGTGTTTTTGCTTACATCACTTCTCAAAACTGGGTAGATATGGCTCTCACACCATCCAAATTAGTCACTGATATCTTTTTGAAGCTTCTCTGGAAGCGTGGAACTGGGTTGTACATTCTCAACTCGGTTATGTCGCCTGAAGCCTGTAGCCTGTAGCTTTTTAATTAGGCTGTTTCTGTCAGTTTTTGATAGAATTATGTTTAAAGCTTCTGGTTTCCACATTCTATTCTTGTTATAGAATGTTGGTTGCTGCTCGGGCTTTAGTTTTATTTTTCCCTGTTGTTCTAATTATGTTGAACTTTGTATTTGCATTTTATTTCAATAAAATGGGCTATGCCCCAAGTTTCCCTAAAAAAAAAAAAAAAATATTTGTTGCAATCTCTTGTTTAAAACTAGCTTTGCAATAATTCGTTGTCATTAATCTTTTCTATAATCTTTGAAGGGAAACCTACAGTGTCATTTATGCATGCTATCTTGAATACTAATGAGGAATGACCTTCCAAACATGTTCAAAACCTGGATAAGGGTATTATACGAAATAATTAACTATAAAATTTTTATTACCCGTTTGGTTGCAAGTAGGATTTAGTAAATTCAGATTTGATGCCCAAATTGGACATTATCCTATTTAAATAATATTTAGCATATCCTAATGGTTGAATCGTTAGGTTGCCTAATTTTTAAATCTTTGCAGCTCAGAACGGGCATAATTCTCTTTTTTCATAAATTTATCTTTAGTTAAGATCTTATCATGTGTTATCTTGACGCATATTTAGCTTGATTAAAATTTAATCTTGGATCTATTGCTGACCTCACGTAGTAGGATAATAAAATAGCCATAACTCGACTTCTTTTCTTCATAAATTTATCTATAGTTAATATCTCATCATGTATTCTCTTGATCCATATTTAGCTTGATTAAAATTTTAATCTCAGATCTACTGCTGATCTCACATAGTGGGATAAAAACATGTTGTTGTTGTTGATCTATTGCATTGAATATGTATATCTCCTTTTTTTTATAATTCTTTTCACAGAACTTAATAAATTATAAAAAATTATAGATTTTGTTTAGTACTCTTTGATAAACATAAACATATGGGTTTGATTATATAAGATTGGGCCATAGGACTTTTAAAGGGATTGATTAAATAGCTTATGGATCGGAACGACCTACTTGACAACACTATGTTCCTTCCCACAATGACAATTAGCAAACCATGACAAATCTCCCATCTAGGGGTGTCAATTCGGGTCAACGGGTCGGGTTCAGGTCGAACCCGAAACTGACCCGACACTATTCGGGTCAACCAGAACCCGACCCGATTCGGGTCCGGGTCAACCCGGCCGACACGAATGACCCGAAGTTGACATAAAATTGCTAATTTTCGAATAAAAAAAAGGGTCAATATTCGATTTTCGGGTCAAAACGGATCAATCTCCGGTTTTCAGGTCAAATATGAGTTTTGGGGTCAATTTCGGGTTGCTGGGTCAACCCGAACCCGACCCGATTTTTAAAACATGTTGATTTGTTCAACCCGAACCTGACCCATTTCGGGTTTGGGTTGACCCTAACCCGGATTTTTCCGGGTCGGGTTCGGATCGTGTTTTGGGTCGTGTCAAAAATTGACACCACTACTCCCATCATAATTCACTTCTCTGAAAATTTATTTGATTGTTAACAATGATTAATGTCCTGATGTTTTTTTTGTCCTGTGCAATACTATTGTCCACAAGTAACAAAAAATATCAGTGTTGATGATCTTGAGGGGAAAAATAAAAGAGGAAAGTTTTTTTTTTTTTTTTTTTTTTGTATAGTTAGATTTGCATGTAAATCAATGGAATTCAAGAATTTTGGTGCCTCTTTGGATTTTCAATGGGATATTGACAAAAGAATATTACTATACTACCTAAAAAGAATCTAATCAAAAAAATTATATGAGGCTCACTATTATATGTTTGATTGAGATATGTTTTTATTGCTTTGCCTAATCAAATGATGATAAAACAAAAACATTTGTTGCTTGGCCAAAATTTTCCTTCCCCATCTTAGTTTTCCTCATGATCTTTTCCTTACTAAGGCTCTCTATTATGGCTTCTGATTGGTTAATCATTTATGTTGACGAAGGTTCAATAAAGATATAGCAGTACACTTCCATTGAACAAAATTAGAAGTATCATAAACTATATATTGCATCTCTGTCGCTTTGGTTTAAAAGAGCAAAAATCAGTGATCGTTTTATGCTCTCCTTTAGGAGAGAAACATCCAACACTGCCTTGGAAATCAGCATATAGCTCTCACTAGTGACAGAAGCGGAGAGCTGGAGTAGAGGTTTCATGAGAATAGCATTGACTGATGGAGGATCAAACAATTAGTCAAATTGAGTGGCCGGCTTGATGAAATGAATCCAATAAGTTTAGGATCATTAGATTCTACACTTAAATGCTGTTCAATGAATAATTTATGATAAAAAAATTTAATATTAACCGTTCGATAGAGTTGAAAAAATTTAGCCAATTATCTAAATATTACTCTCAAAATACTATAAATAAATCTTCATTTAGAAAAGAAAGAAGCCTATACTTGAATTTAATAAGAACTTGAAGATTTGTAAAACTTCAAAATTTTACTTGAATTTTGACACTAACAATCATGCTGTTGAAAAGCTAAGACGGCAAAAAATTTATAGCAGGCAACACATCTAGAAAATGCAACTTGAGAAATTCTTCATCCTTGGAAGAATTGCACCGTTTTAGATGACTGGTGGTACAAAAATGTATGAAAAATGCATCATTTTTCATAAACATATAGGCGGTAGCAACACAAATTAACTAGGAATCATAGTAGTGTCCTAAGTATGGGGGAGCAGAATTTGACGAGAAATAGAAGGTTTTCCTAAGATAAAATTGTCGAGCTTGTTTTTGTTGGATAGCGGTGCTAACCAAACCAAAAAAGAAACGGTTCGAATCCGACAAAAGTTTAGATGGTTCAGTCACCAATTATAATGCTATCTAATTTGCACCATAACTTAAGCATTATTTTACAGACATTTAGTAACTTTTCTGATATATTGGTTTAGTAGAGAAAACATCAGTTAACACAGTCTTGGAGCTTAGTGTGGCACCCAGCAGCGATAGAACCTGCATTTCCAATAAAAATGGAAGTTGATCAGAAGAACAAAGATTGTATAAATACCTAGAAGAAAATAGTTTACCTTGGCTTTATCAACGCTAACTTCCTTCTCAACAAGGTCGGAAATTAGAAAGTCCATTCCTTTAGTTATGACAGAAATGGAGGAAATCGGAGAAATTTGAAGGTTGTCAGCAACCATAAACTTTCTTTCATCTTCCACAAAACTTCCACCATAATCACTCCCTCCATTTTTTAACTTTGGGTTTTGCTCTATGATTTTTGCCTCACTTAATCCATGCTTGCATGGAGGAGTCAGACGAGATTTTGATCGATTATCCAAATGGCATTTTACGCAGCTAGACGAAATGGTCCCCTCAGTTGATGACATTTCATCCAATTGTATCATTTGGTCACTGCATCCATAGTAGGAAGCAATTTCTGGAAGCATCAACATGTCCTTGCATTTTTCTGACTCAAAACATTCTAAGTTTAATCTTTTCACTGTGGAATATAAATTACTAATGCAACCTAAAGATAATTGATCGCCTAAAAGCATGAACACGGAACCTAGCGGAAATGTGAGAAAACTCAACAACTGATTGACAAAATCTCCCTCAACTTCCGCATATAAAACATTGTTGTTTTTCTTGTTAAAT